TGCAGTTTTCTTGGCAAGATTTCAGAAGTGGTTTGCCATTGCCTCCTTCCTAGGGCTGAGAGAGAGGGACTGGCTCAAGGTCACCCAGTTGGCTTCATGCCCAAGGCAGGACTAGAATTCACAGTCTCCCACTTTATAGCCTGATGCCTGAACTGCTAAACCAGACTGGCTCTCTGATTGCACATATTAACTTTTACTTAATTTTACTGTTTTACCTGGCTTATTTTACAGATTGTAATTCACCATAAGATATTTTGAAGAGTGGGAAGGAAGCCAATGTTCTAAATTAATAAAATAAGCAATGCCTTCTCAAGTTACGAAGTCTACCTGTTGCTTATGTTTTTCATGTATCTTGATATTTACTGTGTTACCAGGTTAGGGACAGGTTATCATGGAGAAGATCTGTGTCCTCACTGAAGTCAGCACCAACTTGATGGCACATCATCATTTATTGTGTTACTAATTCATTCTGTTTTTAAATTTGAACAGAGCAAACTGGGAAGAGAACAAAAGGAAGAAGAAGTGACCCCAAAAGAAAAGGAAGAGATGATAGGAAAAGCAGTCCTGAGAAGAAAGAAAAGAGAAAATCGGGGAATGAGTTAGTACTTGGACAGTTGGGTAAGTTTAGCTTCAAAAGGTATCTTTGAAACCCATCAAGCATTTAGAGTCACATTTAGATTATAAATGCTCAGAATATTTTCTGAGAAATAAGTGTTTAACAGTAAGTATACTTTCATATTCATTGCACCTTCCACCCACATTCATTGGGGCTGTACAAGATAATTTTTGAAAAACAGGATTTGTGTTTTTCTCCTCAGTTTTGTATTCATACTAGTCTGTGTCAGATATATAGGGCATAATATTTTGCAAACTGCAGATGGCATTCCTCTGGGCAGAGTGCTCAAGTATATAATGGTTGTTTGGCTATATATATTCTTGGATGCAGCTGTTTAATTGGATCGTTTAGGTTGTGACACAGAAACGATCATAGTTGCTCTGGAATAGACTTTGTGGTACGTGGGCACCGGTGTGATAGTGAATGTGTCTTTTGCCACTTGCTAAGCTCCCTGTGCTCCTTAACTTCATTTTTATTTGCTTACCTTTTTATATAATGTTACCTTTTCTTCTAAAAATGCCTCTGGATTCCACATAGGCCATCTAGTAGCCTTAGAAAATAAAAGCAGTGAGATACTGCGGGCCAGTGCTGTATTTGGAACAATGTCCATGCATCCAGAGAAAAGAGCATGATGCATGGAGAGAGCAGGCATGATTTCATGGGGCCAATGGGAAGGACAAACCAACTGTAAATGTGTGTTTCAGATTGGGCCTGATCACCATTATGGCCCCATTATGAAGAAGGACCAGGACTGAGACCAAGTTTAATTAGATTTCATCTCTCAGCAACTCTCCATGCACTTACATGTGATACTGTTCTGAGCAGACTCTTCAGTTTAGGGATTAGAATCATTATGTAAAGTTAGTTGATTCCAGATTTCACTGAGCAACTACTGTTAGATTCCATGGGATATGTAAGCTGAGATGCTATAGAATTTTACCCTTTTTCCAGTATCATTCGTACTTTAGGTATGCTTGTAATGCAACTCTGCTTCTCATTTACTTTTGAGAATATTACATTCAGAAGGGCTAAATCAGCAGCAAAAGTCACTGACTAAGAAAAGGCGGCACAGGCACCAATAGGCTGAAGCTAAGTTCAGTGGCAGAGCTATTATTAGAGTATGGTTCATCTATCTGGGGTAATGGTTTCACATGTCTTTAAAGAGAACTGGGTTGCTCCTTAAGATGGGGTTGGATTGTTGTTAGAGGCTGACAGATGATGGTGGCAGGGACCAAAACTTTGCCTCCCTTTCCAAAGCCCCATCTGACCTAATCCATATTAGGGAGCTACTTCTTCAAATCACTGGGAGCATGTGGCCCTCTGGAAACAGCTTTACCCATTGGGAAGAGGCAAGCAGAGCTCCAGGGAGGCACTGTTTCACAATACAGGGACCATCTTAAAGGAGAAATTTCACTATTTCTGGATTTCTCTCCCTCTTCACCTTTCTCATTGATGAAGGCAATGGGGAAGAGAAACTTCAGAGAGTTTTGGCTTCCATGCTCTTGGAAAGGTGAGGAAAGAGTGAAAACATTCCCAAAGTCCTGAAAAGGAGGAGGAAGAGAATGACAAAACATGTTTTGGGATGCAAACTGCACCCTGTGTGTACTTGAATGCAGGTACCTAAGGGGTGGAGAGTGTGTCTTGTGACCTCACTCCACGCATTTTGTCATTTTGACAAAATGTTGGCTTGCTGTGTGGACACCACTGCTTGAAAAAACTGTTAAACAGAAGGAAGGGTTGGCTTTACTTGAGACATGTGGGCTAGATGGGCTCCCCAACTCTGTCCTGACATCTGCTGATGGAGAACTTCATCATTCCAGGTCTGTTGCTGAGGATGGTTTAGAGAAACAGCATGCTCGTAGTGATCCATGCTGTATAGCCTCCAGGTTAGTCTGTGGAAATGCATGGAATTCCAGCAACAGTTTGGAAACTGCAAATTAAAACAATCTGCCAGGCTGTTAATAGGGTCCAGTTGCTGTGAGAGCATTTCACGACAATTACATTGGCTCCTGATGTATTTTTAGTTCAAACTACTGGTGTTTACCTTTAAAACCTTCCACAGTTTGAGACCTCTTCTTCAAAGCATCATAAGATCCACTAAGATCTTTTTCAGAAACTAACTTCCAGGTGCCACTGCTATCTGAAATAAAGCAAATTGCAAATGTGGAAAGTGCTCTTTCAGGCAAGGTGTCCAATTTATGGGATATTTTCTGCCAGGAGAATTGCCTGTTCCCTATCCCTGCCCTGTAAGTGAAATTGCTTGGTTATTTGGAATATCCTTTCATTCTCACTGTGTAGTGGGTTCATCCAAATCTGCTATCCAGTGGTTTCCATCTCAAGAGGAGGAAGTCTGGTTATCAGCATTTTTCCAAACGGTTGGAGTTTTGTTGTGCCTTAAAAACTAGCAAATATATTACAAACTTTTAGGGATTTCAGTCCTTTAATATTATTCATGCATGCAATACTATCTATTGCACATATTCATTATTAAAAACAGTATCAAAGAGGATGAATGGAATATAATTAAGATAAGAATATATACACTGGAAAGGGCATTATTCGACAGTGAAGCAAAAGGAGAATTACATTCAGAAGGTACAGTGACCATTTGACAGTGGCTATTAACAATGTAGTTGTTAGGTGTGATTCAAATATTCTTGCATTATTGAACTGATTTCTTGTAATTGAATTATTAAGACAGTGGTTAAATTTATAATGCATTCTATATTTCTACCCATTATTGTAATAGGTTTGTCAACTTCCTTTCCCATTGCCGGGACCTTTTTCAACAGCTGGTTGGCTCAATCTGTACAGATTACCACAGAGAACATGGCAATGAGTGAGTGGTCCCTGAATAATGGCCATCATGAAAGCACTACCCCAGGCCTTTCTGAGGAACTTTTACAAGACGAAGAGACCTTATTAAGTTTCATGATGGATCATTCCTTGAAGTCCCCATTGAAACAGAGTGACACAACTAAGAAAACTAAGAGTAAAATTCGAACACACACTAAGAAAAAACCAGCAAGAAATGGCTTAAATGCCCTCTTTAAAAGACATCAAGAAGAGGATTCAAATAAGTGGACTAACAGCAGTTATTTGGCAGATAATACTATGAAATCTTTATCCCATGATTTAAGAAATGGCAAGGCAGAGAAAAGCATGGACAAACTTCAGTCAGAACGCAAAGGGATATGTGAAGTGAAAAAGATATCTAAGAAGGGTTCTTCTCATCCTCCACTTCCTCTTCCAAAAGCAGATGATTCTCAAGCATCCCAGAGTCTCATAAATAACCTAAGCAATGATGAGGATATAATGAAATACACCCCATCTGATCCTAACTCTCTGGTTCAAGTGCCTGATTCAGTCGGTAGTCTGAAAACAGTGGTGAGGTTCAGATTACCAAAAGAAGGCAAAGGGACTCACAGACCACAGAACAAGACGCCTGAGATGCTTCATGGACCTCCAGAAAATGAAAGATCAAAGGTTATCTTACATCCTTTTGACAATGAGACTGATGGCTACTTTTCAGATGCAGAAATGAGTGACTCTGACACAGAATCTGGAAGTGGCAGAGGGCGCCATAGCCAGTTAGATTCAGGAAATGAAGATAATTTCAGAATGAGTATTTTAGCATCTTAATGCACCTCTAAGACCAGTCATGACAGCTTTGTGAGGCCTAAATCCAGTTACAACTGCCATGTCCAATTTCACCTGGTATCATAACAAAGGTTTTTGGTTTGTTACTTTGTTTTTAATTTGTATATATAATTCAGAAATGAGCACTGTTGTTGCCTCTCTCTATATGCTTGAGAAACAGCTCCAAGCTTCACCAATTTAGACTTCTATACAGTCACAGTAGTTAACCCTTGTTACATGTATATCCTGGTTACATAGAATGCAAGCATACACATTATTAGGGACATCAGTTTTCTGGGAGCAAGCAGGACATCCCAGGTTTTTAATGAGGAGGTCTGAGATTGCCAGTGTCTGTTGTTCATGCAGGGATGACAGTTTTATGGGCATTACTTAAGCAAATTGATTTCATGATCTGCCAGATGTTACTGCCTCTTTTAGGGCAGATTTCAGAAGGGGAATACTACTATGGAAGCCAACTATATCCATAGAACATAATGGAAAAGTAAAAATAGATGTTCATATGTATGTGTGTGCGTGCACCTGCACATGCATGTACACATGTGCAGGGTTTG